GGGTACCTCTTGGTCGTTTGCTTAATTCCGTGAAAACACGAAAAAGTTTCGCGGCGTCACGTGATCGTCGGCAGACGATGCCGAAGTTCGAAAATGTTCAAATCTCTCTTATTTCCAAGGTGTCGAGGTCGAAGAAAATTCTACCAGCTTTTTAATGCTATAAACTCCTGTCAGAAATCCCTTTCCCAGTACTCCAGGTGCACAGCACTATCCGGCATTGTCTGCCGACAATCACGTGAGGCCGCGAAACTTTTTCGCGTTTTCACGGAATTAAGCAAACAACAGTAACACAGGAAGGCACGAAGAGGAAATATGTACTGTTTGCAAGGGCAGGCAGTGCAGGCGCAGGCGCAGCACCCCACCTCTTTTGACGTAGCCACGAGTGCGAGTGATGGAGTCCCACCAGCACGAGGCAGCAGGAGGTCGGCACGCGGCGCCAGCATCGGCTCGATGGCGGTGGGACTGAGGATCTCACCTACCACAGTAGCCTCGAGTCCATCCCACGTGAAGTGGTGCGGTAGCACGACAGTCACGGGCAAGTGGCACGCCGGCAACATGCCATTTGTCCGCAAGTGCGCGAGTGTCGCGCAGGCCGGGAGTGTGGTAGAGCGGGCGGCATGGGGGAGATACATCAACTGAAAGTTGCTCTATGGTAGAAGTTGAGGGTCGAAGATGGAGGATAGCTGGGCAGTGGTGGTGGTCAAGAGCAAGAGAAAGGCGAATGACAACCATCACAATGGGATCCGTTTCCGGTCGCGGAGCAAACATGTACGTTCATCCTTCCCCTTTTGGAAGCACGTGCATGGGGCGAAATCTCAAAACCTCGCAGAGGGAGTAGAGCATATGTGGTTGTGTTTGTCATGGGAGTGATGCTTTTTCTGCGCTTTTTGAAACTGGTCCGTTTTTGACCGGTTTTTTTTTCCCTTTTCAATTTAGAGGGTTGAAAAGGGAAAAAATCGGGAACCCAAAGGCAGCAGGAGGCGAAAACACAACAAAAAGGGAGCCAAAAAGGGAAGAAAAAAGGGCTACTGTGAAACCCCCCCTCGGAAGCTCCCTTTTTCTGCCCTTTTTGGCTCCCTCTTTCGTTCCTTTTCTCAATACTGTGTGTTTCATGCAGAGCCAGAAGACTAGGACATCCAAGAAGACTTGGGCACTCAGTTCGAGGTCTAATCCAACCCTAATATTATTTTCATGGACCGTTTGCACTGGAAGCTTTGGTCTAGAAAAAGGACCAGAAAAAGGGAAGAAAAAAGGGAGTGAAAAAGGGCCACTGTGAACGACTCTAATGTCTTGAAGTTGCATCTGAAATTAGAGTTGATGTTCAATCTTGCTCCAACCTTTGAAGTTGCAGAGGTCCGTGTCAAAATACTTTTTGCACAGTATATCATCCATATGGCTCTTACACACCAGTGGAAGTCGTCGGATTTGGAACGGGTGGTAGCATCGACGACTTGGCTTGGCTTCGTTCATCATGAGGTAACTCTCAGTTGTCGTTCCTACCGGAGAGAGTGCAGTCCCCCTGGCAGCAGGGTCTTCCTCCACGGTACTCTCTCTTTTGTCCACACGATAGTCCGCGTGGTGTCTAGTCAGAGCCCGGGTACTCTGCCCGCCCTTTTCCCCACGCTTGCATCTCACGGCCTGGTCAAGGACCTTACAATTTGTCGCACGCGTCCCCAGTCGAACTATGGAACGCGATCATGTGGCTACACTCGATTTCTGTGTAATGTTCCTGGGGAAATTTTTCGTCTGGTGGAACGTATATCGCGCGGTCCCTAAGCCGGGACCTTCCGCGTCAGCCGAGACCAGCCGAATATCAACCGCTGCCGAAAAGGCCGACTATCAACCAATGCCGAAAAGGCCGAAAGGTGTTGAAAACATGCTGAAACGCAGCTGCAAGACCGCTATGAACCACGTCCGAGTCCATAGCCCTCCTCCGCCGCGGTTCAAGGACCAGAGTATTGACGCCCACCCCGCTCGCAATATTCCGGCTTCAGCTCAAGTTGACTCGAGCCGTGCCAGGACCGTGAGAGATACTGTTCGGAAACTGCTCAGCGAAGCGCGAGAGGGAAATTTACAAGACACAAGATCAATACAACTCGGGAGGTAAAAAAGCATTATGGAGATTACTGATTCGGACGCTGGAAGTCGAACCCAGAGATCCCGCCGTTCCTTGTAGCAAACACGATTAAGGAGCGCGGGCTGTATTTTTGTTACGTAGTGATGCTCAGGGCTCGGCTTGGCCTGGAAGCCCGGGCTTGGGCCCGGCCTGAAGTGGCTTAGGCCTCAGATTTCCTGAGCCCGAGCCCGAGCCCTCAGACAGGGTCAGGCCCGGGGCTTGGACTTGGGCTTAGACTGCAATGTAAATGTACATATAGATCTCGAAGAATGGACGAAACAGCGGGCGCTGATGGCAAGTTTATGACTTGCACTTCTGCGGATTCCACTGTCAGAGCACTCACCTGCTTCGGCGGTGTGAGATCGATCATGAGCGATCAACGATGCGTAGTCTCGCCCCACTCGAATCTTTATTCGGGTGGCATCTGTATTGAGCACCGCACGTCTCGGTCCAACCTGGGCATGCGTGCCAGAACAGCTACCCCCGCACAGCTATCTCCTATCCTATTAGTTCGAATTCGTGCTGGCGTAGATCCGTTCCAGGGACAGAGAGCATGCCCATGCTCCGGTGGGAAAATCAAGGTGTCACCGGTTTCAAGGGCTTGCAACGTGTTTGTGAAATAAGGGCCCCACACGACAGATTGCAACCAGGATAGTTGCAGGTCCGTCCATTTTTCTCTGAAGCGTTGACGGAATACATGCTCTTTGGAAGAACTGAAATGCAAAACGCTAACCCATCGGAGCCCGAAGTCGGGGCATGCATGCCATTTGAAAGATGTGAAACTCGATATTCACATTCTTGTTGTGCTTTTAACGCGCGCCTATTCCGCCAAGACATTTACGTTGCTCAGTAGATACGCATCTCAATATGTTTTAAAAATATTCCACATGACGATTCTCAACAATTCTGTGTCGTTTTCGGAACTGCATGATACGCTCTCTCTGAGAGCGCGTCTTTAGATGGTACTTCCCCGTGGCATCCAGATTTCTTGTACAGTCAACAAAATTGCCTGCTATTTTAATCGTGCCAATCCGCACCGGCTGTCGAGTTTACCAGGCGCCAGTGGCACCACAGGTGATAAAAATCTGTTCAACCTTCTTCGACAGGCTGCAACAACTGCTCCAAAGACAGAACCACCTAAATGTCGAAATCATTTCACTAGAAGGAACTGGAGCTTAAAAAGCACGGCGCGCAGGTGGTTCTGCAGTCTCCCCACAAGCCCAAATGCCTTCTCTGCCCCGGCTGTTCTTCTTTGCGGCCTTCCTCTCGGGCGTGTATTGCCATGTACCGGATAACACGAGTCGTCCTGTAGCACGCCTGTCCCCACTGCAGCCTCTCATCCGGCACCACGTCCAGCCCCACGAGACGACGATCCGCGGCCTCCTTGGCGCTCGCCAGCTATTCTGCGACCCCGGCCTGAACTTGTGCAGCAACCAAGGTTGTTGCACGCCTCAAGAAAACTGCTGTTCAAGTTCGTGCAATCCTGTCTTTGTCTTCTCGTGTTATTTATTTATCATCTATGTATGGTGCAGATGGAGGCTGTTGCGCCGGGAAGTATGTTGGCGATCCACTTTCATATCTTGTTTGAGGTTGCTCATGATTTTGTTTCATTTAGTCAGTACTGCGATGGAGTAGGCTGCTGTCCAAACGGCCAGGTCTGCAGTGGAATCGGGAACCAATGCTCAGAATCTGGGTTCGAGCTTTGTCCGAACGATAATTATTGCCGCCGTAGGTCCAGTTCCGTGCGTGATTTTATCACACCTCTGATGTCTTCGGCCTGTGAAGCGACCGGCCAAAAATGCTGTGAGTGTTTTTCTTCATTGGGAATGTACCCTCGACTCAAGAATTCTGTCTTATTCTAGTCCGCGAGTCGGACGGAAGCCCAAGTTGTGGAGATGGCGACGGTTCTCCCCCTCCCCCTCCCCCTCCAACTACCACACACAAAGCAGCGGATCCTACAACAACCCCGAAGGCCCCCACAACCACGCGCAGAACTACTACCGACACCACACCGGATACACCAACAACAACCCCGAAGCCCCCCACGACTACCCGCAGAACTACTACCGATATCGATACCACGCCGGATATACCAACAACAACCAGTAGGCCGTTCTTCTTTTCACGGTGGGATATCGCGCCTCACCTCGCTGTTAAGGCAGTTCCGGACTGACTCAAACAACCGGAGCGGGAAGCCCCACATTCCTTCCCTCTGCAGGCGGCTCCCAGAACAGTGGTCTTTCTTTCCCGGCTGCTGGTGATCCGACCTCAGGCTCCTCCTCTGCAGGGTCTACGGACCCGGCGGCAGCAAATTCTGGGTTTAGAATCAAGGCCGTTCCTTGGCTGCCTCTCGCCGTTCTTACCATGGTGGTTGCTGGTGTCGCAACCCCGGAGTTCTAGAGCTGCACTTTAGTCCTGCGGATGGTGGACGCGTCTTATTTTGTTCCTCGTGTGTTTCAGCATTTTTTAATCAGGAGGTCAATTACAAGATTGCTGAAGACGTTGTAGACTCGGATTGCGGGTCGTTCTACGCCAGATTCTCATGTTTTAAGCCAGACAGTTTTATTCAGTTTTATTTGGACATAAACGCATCCAGCCACTTTCAGATATTTGCAGCCGTTTGCGGAGCTTAGGGTGCGGCCGATGTTTTCTCTGTTTCGTCACTTGTGGGCAGAACAGCTGCCCTGGCGTCAGTTCTTCGTGAATTCCATGGTGCGATCGATCCGCAGCGAGCCACACCCTCGGATTCCTTTCGGAGTAATTTAATCAAATTTCGACCAGTTTTGAGGGCCATCTCCGTAGGACGCCTTTAAGACCGAGAGGATTTCTTATGGCCAGGTTGCAAGACCAGAGAGAAAAAGTTAAGATGGTCGTATCAGCCGAATTCGGACGCTGGGGATCGAACCCAGGCTTCCCCACATATGTAAACTTTAAGTAGAAGCGGGCGTGCACCGTGAACCCTAATGCACCACGTCCGAGTTCTTATGCTCGGTGTGTCCCTGAATATATTTAGGGGCGAGAGCTGTCGGGGATATCGTAATACCAATTCACTTACGCATTTGCCCGGAGGGTGAAAAAGGAAATCGATCTCTGTTGGGAATTCAGACCCTGGGAGTCGAGCCCAGCCCTCCCGCTCCAAATTTTGACCAAGCTCAAGGACAGCGGGCGTGCGCCGTGCACCACGTCCGACTTCCTCCTTGTCTCTGTACCTCCATACCTCATACATGCTGCAAGAATTATCCGTCCCAAGCCGGAAGGGAAATCGAACCCAAATGCAAGATTCTCTGCATCCCCAAATTTCCATCAATCGGATGGTCTTGATCCACCTCGTCGCGAGCAAGGTCTGAGAGTGAGGGATTTTGCACGAGTTGAACCAAAAAGGTGGCATCGTTGGTTGGCAATCCCTCAAATTCAAAGAGAGCGAGTGTGCACCATACACCGCGTCCGAGTCCCTCGGTCCCTTGTGCATATATAGCCTTGTAGAAGGAAGAACACCGTGTTTGAAGGAACCATATTCCCATGTCCTACGCTGCTCTTCAATCCCAAATCCCAATTCGTCGGCGGGAGGGAAGTGGCGAAGGTCATAGCGATTTATAGCTGCCCTGCGTCCGAATATTTGCGTCGCCTGCCTTCTCTGATTAATGTTTGAAAAAGAAACCATAGCCGAAGACGAATCCGGACGCTGAGAATCGAACCCAGGCTTCTCACTTTCTATTGATTTGCAACGTAGTAGAAGTGGGCGTGCACCATACACCACGTCCGACTTCTTATATTTTATGTGTACCTGAATATATTTAGGGGCGAGGGGCGAGGGCGAGAGCCGTAAGGAAGTTGCCCGCAGGATGAAAAAGGAAATGACAATCACTGCATTCAGCGCCCTGATAGCCGAGGGCCACGTGGAGCGTCTGCCATGTTGTATGATCCCATCGGCATCTTCCGACCGGCCCGACCTTCACCGCCACCGCTCCCATATCCGGTTCTCTGTCTCAAATATTCGATCTTGTCCTCAAGAATAATAAGGGCAAGGGTTTCGTGTTCATATGACTCGAAATATGATTCACTACTGATTCGTTATCACTCACCAGTTATTCCTAGTCAAACGTCGATGATTCGCACTCGTACCTGACTTGGTATTTTCCCCATTTCTACGATATAATATGGTACCGCAGTTTGTATAAATTAGCTAGGCATCGTCCTGTTAATTCAGAATTCTCTCGGCCTTTTTGACGTCTGGCCGGGGTCTGGCCCGCTTCGAACAGGCCGATACCTCAGCCACGTCTGGCTACGTCCGCCGATCCCTAGCGATGCTTCGGCTACCTTCGTCACGTCGCTTAGCCACGGCAACTGAGCCACAGCCCGTGGAGCGCCAGCAAGGTGATGGCTAAGTGTTCGGCTAGGCTACGGCGAGCCTTCGGCTAGCCTCCGGCTAGGTGGCGGCAGTGCCTGCGGAGCTCTGCCGTGGACGTCAGCCGCGGCTAGCCGCATGGCTCCACAGACGGATGGCGATGCTCCGCTGTGGCTAATGGGGGCTTGAATGCAGTGAATGGCTCTGTGGGTATTCGAATCCTGGGAGTCGACCCCAGGCTTCCCGCCTATAAGTCTATCAGAGGGAGCAGGTGTGCCCCATGCACCACGTCTGACTCTGAGTCCGACACTCTCTTGCGTACCTGATTGAGAATGGATTAAGCTTGCATTATATACAGGGCCAAAATGGACAACACACGGAGCTCGAGGATATGATACAGTAGAGAGGACGTCCGCGAGTGGTATGTAGATAGATGATAGGAGTTGCTATGTGCGCAGGATTATAGAGGTTTTTGGTATGTACGGGTGGAGGAAGATGGTGTGGATGGGAAGTGCGCGGGATTTGCAGCGGAGGGAGGGAGAGTGGACGGTGGATGCGATGCGCGGGAAGGGGGGGAGGATTGGTGGGATGTGGGAGGGCGGCGATGCAGGGACGTCCGATACGATACGATGCTATGCGGAGTAGATGGTGATAGGATCGCGGCGGCGTCGATAGCGGGGCGCCGTCGCTAATTGATGTGGGTGCAGACGCAGACGGGAAGGAGGAAGGCGGCGCGCGCGCGCGGGGGGGTCCAGCGCGAGTGGCGGCGCTGTTCGCGATGGCGGCAAGAGACGTGGGAAGCGAGGGCGAGGGAGACGAACGAGCGCGGCGCACCTTCTTCCTACTCAATGCGTCTCGCTCCGCCGCGGCTTCACCCTCTCCCGACCTCAATCGCGGCTCCGACTACTCTCCTGACTCAGCTTCCCCTCCCGCTCCCGCCGCCACCGCCGAACCCAGAGACTGAGCAGCGGCACCTCTCGCGTCGGGCTCAGAACAGGCTGCGGCTGTGCGTATACGGGACCAGGCGCGTAGACGGGCTTCGGCTGGGGCGCGTATACGGGCTGCGGGCCCGGCCCCGACTGCGCGTAAACAAACTCTGGGGGCGGCGGGGGGCGGGGGCGGGAGGTAGGACCCCTGGCGGCGCGCCACCGGGGGTGCTGGTACGAGTAGCTCGGAGTATGGGTCGGCGGCGCGGCCTGCGAGCTCGATCGCGAGCGGCGGCGCGGCGGCGGGGGTGGCGGTGGCTGGGGGGTAGAAGTACGGCTGCAGGACCGCGGGTATAGGGACTGCTGCACGCCGTAGATATCGCCTTTTGGTGGCACGGTTTGCGGGCGCGGGGGGGCCGCACGGGGTTGTTGCAGTGGCACGGGGGCCGGCGGCATGCGCTCCCACTCGCGGTGGCGGCCCGACGAGCGCGTGTGGCGCCAACCCGGGGAGCGGGGCCGGGCCGGCGGCGGGGGTGGGCGGGGCGAAGGGGTCTGCTTGAGTTACGCGGTGGGTGCTCTCCGCGACGCGCGCCTGCGTCTCGACGTGCCGCGTGTGTGCTTCGGGACCAAATTTCATTGGTCAGTCTGCTCTTGCGGGGAGTGGGAGGATTGAAGATGGGCTAAAGTCAGGGAGATGCTCAGGGAGAAGCTGGGAGAAGGAGGATGCAGTCGTGCAAAACATGATTTGCTAGATCCACAAGTACCTACAGGAGCCCATCCGATGGCAAAATAGACAGCCAAAGTCATCACGAGAATAAAGCAGTGAGCGGATGGGCTCCAGCCTCCGATGGGGAGTGTGGCGTGGAGGAGCCTGGAGGAGTAGGACCCGGGAATTTCCGCATCAGCCGAGATCAGCCGAATACCACTGCCGAAACGGCCGAAAAGGCCGAAGGGAGGCAAGCTTGCCTTGATTGGTCAATCTTACACTCAGCATCCTGACGCCGTTGCAGTGGAATTTTCCCGAGGATTTTCACGTCCTCGAGAGCCATTTTCAACCACAGCCAACCGTCAACCTTGCATGAGAAGAGCGGGCGCGCAGCGTGCGATACATCCGGGGTATGCAGGAGTCTCTTTTCGAGTCCTCCGAGAGTGATCCAGAAGAAACGCCGGACTGGGGATTAGAGGTAAAGCATGAGTGGATATATGTAAAACAATATTCAACCCACATTCACACTGGGAGTCGCCCAGACCTCCCGCTTCGACCAGCATCGTTCCCTCCTTTCTAAGGAGAGCGAGCGTGCTCCGTGCACCACGTCCGAGTCCTAATTCCTCTTCTGCAGCGGTGCAAGCACCCACCTTTTCCAATTTTGCTCGGTCGTAAAGTGTCAGGAAAGTTGATCAGAAATTCGGGAGATGAGGATTCAGGAGCGGGCGGAAGGGCGGTAGGTGGTAATAAAATTGGTTGGAGTCCGCTATTCGGACGCTGGGAGTCGAACCCAGGCTCCCGCCGTTCCTTGTAGCGACAAGCACGATTGAGGAGAGCGGGTGTGCGCCGTGCACTACGTCCGAGCTGTGAAGTCGGATGTGCACCTGAATAAATGTACCAATCATCGTTGCAATTGTAGTGGAACCATTAGTGACGGTGGGCGTTCCGACTTCTTAGCCTGGGTATCCACCAGAAGGACGGAAGGAAGGAAGAGTTTGAATCACATTCTCATTTCCTACTCTGCTCTTCAATCCAAATAATCCAAATCCAATCGCAATTCATTGATTAGGGAGGCAGCTGGCGAAGGTGAGAGAGATTTTTTAACCTGGAGTTGAAGGTTGAAAAAGAAAAGGAACACGGATCGACCAGTCGGACGCTGGGAATCGAACCCAGGCTCCCCGCCTCATATTTTTCTTCTACCACCACCAGGAGAGGGTGCACCGTGCACTACGTCCGAGTTCCTACCTTCCTCACTCCCTTGTATACCTGAATACATCCTACAAAAATAATCAGCATAGGCATAGGGACCGTAGACCGCAAGAATGAAATACCTGATATTCGACCGCTGTCCGAAATCCGGGCGGCGCATCCGCATCCAAACGCGCTGTCACAAACCCCAACGATTCAGAGGAAGCCGATCGAGCTGTAGCTCGCAAAGGCTGGGGAATCGTCAGGTTGAAAGCAAAAGAAGCTTGTCCGCTGGAGGATATTCGGACGCCTGAATAAGTACAAGAATCATCAGTCCCAAGTACTCGGAGCTAATTATGTAAAACGAAATCCAGATCCCAGGGAGTCGGACGCTGGGAATCGAACCCAGGCTTCCCGCTTGACATGCCGTTTCACAGTAATAGAAGCGGGCGTGCACCATAGACTACATCGGAGTTGCTTCCCCACTTGCGTACCTGAATATCGGGATTCATAAGCCATCGCGGCGGCCGGGCGAGAGCCGTAGGGATACTTGCTGTAATACTAACTGAAGTCACTTCCCCATAGGGATGAAAAAGGAAATGGATCTGTGGGGCATCATTCGGACTAGGAGTCGAACCCAGTGCTCCCACTTTCACATGAGTTCCTTCTTTGGAACGAGAGGGGGGCATGTGCCGTGCACCACATCCGAGTCTATAGCTCTCTTCTGCAGTGGGGTAAGTACCAGAGTTATTGAACCTCGCCTCGCGCGCGATGTGTAGCCTCCGCTAACGCGGTCCAACTTCAGGATACAACAATGCGAGGTACGAGCGAGAAAATTTTGCATCGTCTGTTTATAAGAGACTAAGTCCAGGAGTAATGATTTGATATTCGATCGTGTGTGAGATTGAGCAGGACATTTCGGCAGCGTTTTCTTTTTTAAAAAAAAAAGCTTATCAGTACACCTTATTCGGATGCTGGGAATCGAACCCAGGGCTCCCACGTCCACCGCAGTGGTAACCGTCTTACGGAGAGCGGACATTCACCGTGCACCACGTCCGAGTCCACATCTCTTTTCTGCAGGGGGTTAAGGACCGGAGTATTGAGGCTCACCTTGCCGCGATATTCATTTTATCCTTCGCCGAGTCACCGAAATTCAGCCCGATGCCCGCCAGACGCGTCACACGAACCGGAACGTGGACAGGTGCGACACTCTGCAGGAGCCCAGAGTTGATATGGACACATCGTGGTGAGCCTGAGGAAGAAATAAAACAAAAATTGGCTGGAACATGGATAATTCGGACGCTGGGAGTCGAACCCAGGGCTCCCACGTTCACCTGTTCGGCACCTTTCAGCTAAGAGCGGGCGTGCGTCATGTACCACGTCCGAGTCTATAGCTCTCTTCTGCCGCGGGGTAAGTAGGAGAGTATGGAAGCTCACCTCGCCGCGAGATTCCATCTTCAGCTCAACTCGACTCGAGCCGCGTTTCTGGAACCCGGGCCGGGAGGAACTAGATTCTTTTCAAAAATTGATTAGCATACATCGGTCGATAGGGATATTCCAAAGATCAATACAACTTGGGAGGTAAAAAGCAAACGGCCCACTATGCATTCGAACCCAGGGCTCCCGCCGTTCCTTGTACTGACAGAGACAAATATGAAGGGCGGGGCTGCGCCGTGCACCACGTCCGAGTCTATAGTCCTCTTTTGAAGCAAGGCAAGTAGGAGCCTCGCGGCCCCTCGACGTGATTTGGATTTGGTGTGTGTCACTATGTAAATTGGGAATTTGCGGATGATAGGGATCGACGGACGCACGCGGAGTTGGGCACTAAGTGGTAATGGTGGTAATCAACAGAGGAGGGAGATGATACGACGAGATGAGACGGAGACGAAGATGCATATCTTGGCGAGGCGAGCGGAATCGAGGACCAGGAAGAACAATAGAAACGAAATGAACACAATTGGAAGAGAACAGAATCAAATAGAGCCAGGACGACAAGGACAAGGACAAGACGAAGCCCAGAACGGAAGAAGGCTGATCATGTGGATATTATTACGATATGATATCGATGCATATCTTGGCGAGGCAAGCGGAGTCAAGAACCAGGAAGAACAATAGAAACCGAGATGAACACAACTGGATAAGAACAGGAGTAAAACAAGGGCCAGAGCCAGAACAAGAACAAGATGCAGCCCAGAACGGAAGAACACGAAACGCCACCGGAATGATGGGACATGGAAGGGTGGACCCATAACACGTCCGAATGGGGTCGGCGCCGGTGCCGGGCTCGGAGAAGAGAAGAAAGCTCCGCATAGATCGATGCGGTGTTTAATTAATTAGAAGCAGGAGATGAAGCGTGGGGGACTAGCACTCCCCACAGCGACGGCGACATACATGATACGGTGTGCACACTACGGGTAGGTGTGAGGATGGGAGACGCACGCTGTAAGGTGTAAGGCCCTACATTCATATCGATCGATCCATCTGCCTATCATCCCTGGCCCGGCGGCGGCGGCAGGGGTGATTAGATGCAGATGGATGGAATGCAGCGTGCAGGCAGGAATAAACGCGATGCAAAGGGGACCTGCGGGGCAGGGCATGAATAGGCGTGGCCGGCGATAGGGCGATTCCAGCGCCCTGCGCAGGGGGGAGCAGGGGATGTGCATAAAAGCTGCGTGAGCGAGCAAGGAAGAGGGTCTGTGCGTGTACTTCAAGTTGCGAACGAGTCATCGCCGTGCGTAGGGGGTGCGTAGTCCGGCGTGCGGCGTGAAAGCATAGATGATCAGGTCAGCGGCGTGCATCCGCAGAGTGGCCAACGAGGGAACGCGGCGCAGCGGGGATTACGGAGATAGCGTCGGAGTCGGTGTGGCTTCCTTCTTTCCCCGGCATGTTAAGAGCGGACAGGGCATGGTGCTAGAGACGCAGGGGACAAGCAGAGTTGAAGAGGACGAGCAGATGAGACGGAGGACGGAAGACGGACAAATGCAATTGAGAGGAGACATCCAAATCGGGTCACTGGCAATTGCATCGGACGATCGGCGATCACGTGTTAGATTCGGTTTTCACGGTCATCCAGAAACGACGGTGACACCGGGCTCCTCTTCGAGCGGTGGATTTTAGTTACTATTCTCTCAAAGCAATGTTCGAAACGAGTCGTTTCTCCACTTTAACCTCTGGATGTCCGGAGGGAATGAGCCGAGATTAGCGCTCATGTTCAGGAACCTCTTCTGGTGTAAGGCTCCAACCGCTTTCCTTTGTAAACGGTTTTAAACAGTTAAACCCATTTTTTTCGTTTTATTTGCTGGAGCCGCAAGCGGTAAAAAAATAGCAAATAAACGATTTAAACGGTTGACAATACTCACTTGTCTGTCACTTTGCTGCCACAGCTTGGGCATACAAATCCTGAGCACACCATGGAATATAAGAGGCCAGGGACTCTCTTCAAGTCAGGATTCAAGTGATTCCTACCCTCCGTGGTCGATGCAACGCTCAAGAGGCGGGACAGTCCTTGACGGTGAAGCGAAATCTACCGAGAAGCGAAACAATGACTATCCCGCGCCTCCGGAGGGTCCGATAGGCCCGATTCTTTTGCGTGTGATACACATGAACACCTACTTCATTTGTACAAGATGAATTGTCCACAGGCCTTTCTTGGGCCCTGTAGAATGCAGTTTCCTTGCATCAGCTATTATTTGCAGATTTTTTTAATGTTCTGCTCTGTGCTCGGTCCTTGAGTAGAAAATACTCGCCAGGTAGGACGCCTGAGGGTTTTCGAGGTCGAGGATCTCGAATATCAGCATCCCGGAAGTCAAAGATCAACTACCGTGCGAGAACAGCGTGCATTTCGTTTCCACGTGATCCTCAACCAAGGAGTGTCCGAGAAAGAATGTGGCCCTTCTCCATGACAACGGCAGGTAATAAGGCGAAAGTTCTCGTTGACAGGTAGCCTACATCCAGTAATGTCACTCGATTCATACCGCAAAAGTTGCTCTGAGTGAACAAGAAATCAGGATTCATTGCGCGGATAGGAGTGAAATCCAGAGATAGCACGATCCCGAGATCCAGATGCAGTTGAAGAGAGTGAGATGAACTGCACTGGCAAACGAGGAGGAGATGGAAGTTCGAACCGCGAGAAAATCCTCAAGGATTTTCAGTTCTGCAAACAGACACATGCAGTGCAGCAAGGCGCACGGTGCGCGGCATGCAGAAGAAACTCTGTAAGCCGGAAAATGTGGTATGAACACAAGGCTGATGGTCGCTGGATACAGAGATGTGCATCAATTGAGAGGTCGAAAGAACCAAGCCGCTGGAAGTATTTGAGAAAACCGTCATCGTGAGGGACGAGCATAAGAAAAAAGTCTGGGTACTGTCCGAATGCGAGGCGGCGTTGCTAGCGTAGATGGCCTGCGACCCAATTGCGTGGTGACGTGAAAGAAAGAGACGTTCGGACCAGCGGGCCGCGCGTGCTTGCTGATGCGTGGCTGCATCGCCACTAAGGCTGGCTTTCTTTTTTCCTCGACGTTATCTCGACGTTCTTTATGCTGGCCTATCTATTTTCTTAGCGCACGTGGGGGTCCCGGTGTACCTTCCTTATGGGTTAGAAACGACTGACGTGCAGGCATTGTTCTACAACGCACCGCACTCTGAGAGTCTTTGTCCCGCAGCTAGGATCCTTGGATGGACTCGAGACGCTTGTCCACCGCTGTGAGTCCCCTCTCAAACATCCGACGATCAGCATCCAACAAAGTGTGTTTACGTTGTATCAAAAAGCACTCTCTTTGTAAAATTCCGCATGTCCGTCCGTCCGAAGCCATAAACTCCGCTAATTTCGTTTGATGATGGTTCACCGATTGACTGAAGCCGGCAGGATCTGCGGAACCGGCTGTTCGCGATCGCGGCTTCGGGTCTGACTCGGCATGCCTGCCACTGCTCCGCCCAATCACCCGCCATTTCTTCTCTGTCAGCTATGCTCGCAAATTTCGGCAGATTCTCCGTTATGTCCCCTGAAATGCTAACTCAACTCAACTCAACTCAGGCCCACCGTTAACTGAAGATCGATTCAAGTCGGTTCAACTCGAGTCCATCTCAACATTTCAAAATGAACCCCAAGTCGACCCCGAACAGAAAGGGGTCCCGGGCCGCGAAGCGGCCGTGGAACCGCTTGTATTCTTTCTAATTAATCACTTGCAGCATTCAACGCCGCTCCCATCCCACTCCCACCCCTTCCCGACCTCTGACACCTCACCCTACGCGCAAAGACCACGTATTCTGCTATGTCCGACCCCGTCCTGGGTACTCCCCGGCCTACCCGTGTGCATACCCAACCTCGAGCGCCTCACCATCGTGCTCTACGCCGAGTCACACTTTACGCGCGAGGGAACGACTCAATTCTTTTACGCCTAACAGCAGCAAAAAATACGAAATCAAACACTATTAAACTTCGAAACCGCATCCGCAGCGACGCTGAAGCCCTGATTCATACCGAGGTCTTTGATAGCCTCCAAAACTAAATCTTTGTACTCCGCGTCCAATACAACCTGTAAACAGCGCTGGGCGAGCTTTCAAAATTCGACAAATGGTGAGGCTTACCGTTTTCAAGTGTTCCCAAGTCTAGAAAGCAGTGAGCGCGCAGGTATTGGTAAATGATAGAAATGTTAGGACAACTTGCCTCCGCCTCGAACGTCACAATGAACGTCGGATCTGCCGGGCGGCGGCCCAATTCATGGAAAGGGCTATCAATTTCTTTGCTGGGGACCCACTAGTGATATCAGGGAACATGAGAGTACGAAAGCAGAGAACGGAATGTGCCGCACGAGGGTGTGGTTAACTAGGTTCGCCTGAACAACGGGGAGGGCAGCAAAGAGGTCGGCAGATTGGTCGAACTTTTCGTCGGATTGAACGCCGGGGTTCGGGAATACGATCCAGAGGTGTTTGCGGTCTTGGGTTCCGAGGTCCAGGGGAGCCTTGGCGATTTTTGTTATAGGAGTGGAGGTGTACATGGTGGCAAGGGTGTGGAAGGCGATTTCCTCCGAGTCGTTACCGAGGAATACATCGAGGAATTCGTGGTCATGGAGGAGCTTGGATGAAAAGATAAGAATTAGAGCTTAAAAATAATTCGAACTCGCAGACCTCCACTAGATGATCATGGCTCTGAGCGAGCGGTGAGATGGGGTTCATCAATAATCATTTAGTAGATGGCCGTTATTGCGCCCACCTCGAACTCGTATCGCACAATGCAAACCACCGCTGCCGAGCCCGGAAGTCTGAAAGTCGTAATGGAGTCGTCCAATCCGTCCTTTTGGAAGAACTGTTCAAGTCGATCTCAGAATTTATGAACTCGACAATTCGATCCCTACTCAAGGACGTACCAGATCGGCCCTCGGGAGGAG